CAACGTGAAATTCATTTACTTGTTACAAAAAATAACAGTCATGATTACTCTCGTCACGTGCATTGGAAAATAATCAAAGGAACGCAAAAACCTACCAACTATACGGTAAAATTTTTTTATACATTTTAATTAAAATACGTCAAAAAAAAAAAATCTTTTTGACCTAAAAAATTATACACACATTGTATTAGGAATTCTTTACAGTTAACATTGTAGAGGATTTACGTTGTGATTACAACTTGTCATATCGTTCGACATCCTCCGTCAACGTTAATTGTTCTTTAAATAATCTTTCATTTGCAACTTTAATGGATGAAGATTTATCTTTTTCGCCACCTCCAACTGTTTATTCTTCTTCATCGCATAATTGCATGCCTGATTCGTCACGGTTAGAAATTTCTGCGAATAATGAAAATGATAGGGTTATTTAAGTAATTGATAGAGGATCAAATCCTTCATTTTTCTTAAATCTTCCTCCTCCAACTTATCAAGAAGCTTTGAAAGACTTAGATGGCACTAGTGTATCATTTGTTGAAAGAAAGCAGGGTAATGATGGTGTTGATACTGGTATGGGAAGAAGATCAACAGATTTAGATTGATTAAAAAAAAAAATATCGAATTTTTTATGATGTCAACTTCTAAAAAAAAAAAAGGAGTGGGAAAATTTTTTTATTATTTTTTTTATATATAAATAAATAAAAAGTATAAAGTCACATCAGTTTCTCTCATCAACTTTTTTTTTTTTTACCACATTCTTTTAAAGAAATCATGATGACCATTTTTAATATATTCGCAAATGTCGATTATTTTTTTAAAGTTTAGTCACCATCCACATCTACCTCCACCTTCACCTCCACCTTCACATCCAATCCACATCCTCTTCATCCTCCACATCCAACCGCAATTTTTTTTTAAAAAAAAATAAAAATAAACAAAAATCAACTCTCTCACCAAAAGCATATCTTTCAAATAATCTAGTAAATGTATAATCGGAGTCCGGGCTGGCATTTTAAACACGAATTTAAGCCCGGGTTGGGCCGGGCTTCAAAATTTGGACTAATTCAGGTCTCTAATCCGAGCCAATAAACGGCTAAATTATCACATGAAATCTCCCACACCAAAATTCTTTTTTATAAATCCCCCCCCCCCCGATTTTTCAAAATATTTATTCTGTAATTTTGGTATTTGGTGGTTTTTTTTAATTATTTTGTCATTTTATACGTTCGATATTGCATGTCATTCGAATGACCTTAAACGAATTCAATGACCTTACCCTATTTTTGCTATAAAGTTTAAAGCGTTGTCTAGTAGATTAAATAATAATAATCTTAAATTCTGGCCAACATAACAACCTCATCATAAGTTATTACCAAATCTGCGTACGAAAATTCAGTCATAACGTAGAATTTATATTTCTGTGCTTCACCAAACATTTTGGCGTTGATAAATAGTATTATTTATAGTGAGGACATTTATCGTAATTACGTAATAATTAACGAAGATAACCGATTCAGCGAGAACTGAACCCCACCTAAGTGTTTCACCAAGATCATAGATCATAACCATTATGCCACAAAAACTGATAAGATTTTCGAAGTATCTAGAACATTTCGTCACTCGTCATCACGACATGAATCGATATCGATCAAGCGGTTCATCAGTACAAACTGGAATTGAGGGAATTTTCCCACCTGAAAATACAAGATTGTATACAAATCATACAGAAAATACAGAAAGGTCTTTATTTAATATTTTACTGAAAGGTTGATTTTTTGACCCTTTGTTTTTAACTCGAATTTCGCGTTTACAGGCACAATATCATGTTTTGCCTTGTTCTAGGTGAAATTCCCGCTAAAAGGAGCCTATTTGCAGTTCCTATTACCAATGAATTTACTATCGGTTCGCAACTCAGGAGTGCAATTTATAAGATAAAGGAAAAAACCTTTACCAATGTTGACGAAAACAAACTCGTACTATGGAAAGTCAAAATTCCCATCAATGACAAAAATATGAGTATACTTGATGAAGCGTCTCGTTCATCTCATGAAGTTAATATCGAAAGGGATTTATTTCAAAGGCGAAGAGTTGTTTCCAGCAGACGCAATTCCAGAAGACTACCGTAAACAACAACCACCTGAGGTAAAGATAATCCATATCATCGTGGAAAAACCACCGCCCGTTACCACTAGTAAGTGTCTCCAATGGTTTACCAATCAAACAAATATCTTTTTTGTAGGCTTAAGTCTACGATCAACAATAACAAGCGGATTTTAAGTGTCTTGTTTCTTTTTATTTCACTGCATTAGTTTCGTCGATGCACATCATTCCTGACGAAGTTAAAATTGAAATTAAAAATAAAGGTTCGTTGCACTGGAAGTTTGGTTCTTTTAAATGATTTTTCGCTCACGTCCACTCTTGTTTTTTAGTTATAAAGACTTTTCCACACATGAATATTCTTTCAATTGACCAACTTATTGACGCGCTCGCCTTGATTTGGGACATTGAGGCATTAGAAAGTGGCTCTACAGTTTCACAAAATGATCCGTATGTTGAACTGAGGACGGCACCCTCTTTTTTCAAAATAAGCTTGCCCCGTGGTATAACCGAACGAACTTTCACAAAAGTTGATCTGTGCCTCCCTTCTTACAATATATCCGGAGAGAACTATCACAATCCCTTCTATGATGACCCACAATTCAGAGAAACGGTTTCTTTTGTGCAAAAAAAGATTGAAGAAAGACCGAAAGATATAATCGTTCTCGCCGGGGTCTCAGGAGGTGGAAAAACATCGACAACATTCGGAATTGCCGTGCAACGTTGGTCAATCTATATTGATTTTTCTCCTATTATAGGTTATTATGGCGTCCATTTGATAACAGAACTTGAAGAAATCAGGCGTGTAAAACCTAAGTTTGAACTCGATGATCAACAAATTGATGCATTTCGCATGTTGGACATAGCAATACTCTCACGCGGACTTTTACTTATTAAGATGATTATTGAGAAAAAATTTTCAACACCAAAGGAATGGTTATTGGCACAGCTTCAAATGAATGATTCGGAAACTCGAAGTATCTTACGCCTTAGAAAATATGATCCTGATACTATTATTATACTTATCAAGAAAATTAATGCTTGTCTCAAATTAGCTAATCTAACCTTAATATTTGATGAGTCGCAAGTCTTATGTTCATCCGAATATGGAAAATATAAAGGGTCAAATCGTGGCAAAACATGGAATCTTTTGCAAGGTTATGTAGCGCACCTTCTCCAATTTCCCGTTACTTGCCTTCTTGCTGGCACATACATGCATATGGCGAGTGGAATTTCTCTTGTCACTTCTGTTGGAAAAGATTCAAATTTGCAAACTCATATTGTGCTAAAACTTCCCTTTCTCTCGCATGATGATGTCTTGCGGAACCTTGATGCCGTAATTGACCTTGAGCATGTTAAAACCGAAACTCGCGACCTCCTGGCAAATCTTCTCAAGGGGCGACCTCGAAACTGTGCATCATTTGTTCGGCTGTTAATATCAATGCCGAGATCAAATGGTAAAACAAAAGATCAAGTGCTACGAGAACTTATTCCGTTGTGGCAACATGAAATTTGCTTTTCCATGGCAGATTATTTGGTAAACGCGTGTGAATATTTTGGTGCGGATAATCTCAATTCAGAGAAAGCAATTATGGACGTTCTTAGACTTCGTGTTTTTTATAATCATAAGTTCAAGGAAGCTATAGAACTTCTCCAACTCAGCATCATTCCTTGCCAGTCACCAGAATGCATTGTTCTCAAATATAATTCTAAATTTGATCATGAAATCGAAATAAACACATCGTTTGAATCTTACCTTATTGACAGCACTAAATTATTTCTTGAACGAAAACGAAATAAAAAAATGATAGATGTCTTTGTTGATAACATTATCATGCTCAATAACGTTACATCAATTGGCAATGAATTTGACGTGGTCTTTATTACGGCAATCATTGAGAAACGCAATCGTTATGTACGAGAAGAACTTGATAAATGGAAAAATGGACAACAATTTGATCTTCCTTCATGGATCACCCCCAAGATGAAATTTATTACAACTTCAAATCTATCAAATAGCGTTCATATAACTCAATATGTTAAAAACATTATGACCTATAGTTCTTACGCAATTCAACCAGAACAGCGTTCAGGATCAGATGTGATACTTTCTCTCATGGATGAGAATGATGAGCAAAATGTTGTGCTATTATCGGCAGGCTGTACAGTTTCTAGTAGTGATTCTATTACGAGAAAAAAAGTCAAAGATCAGTTAATCAAATCATGTTTGAGGTTTCAATATATGGAATGTCCAACGAATACCCCAAAGAAGAAACCAAAACGCCTCAAAATTGGTCCTAGTGCTGATTTACCGAATGATGACACAGCTAATGAAGAGGACAACTTAGAAGGAGAGGAGGATGAAGAGTATGGCCAAGATTTAAATTATGTTGGTTTGGATTATGATTTGGACTACACCGAAAACACTAAGAATTACCAGATATCTGAGTTCTCTAATCACAAACAAATCAATACTTTCATTAGAAATCGAAAACATATTTATGTTTCAGTGGAACTTCCACATAGAGCTGGCATTAAAGCTGGCAATAAAGCTGGCAAAAGATCTGAATTGTTTCGATTAAATGAATATGGTGATCTTGTGATCATTGTGGATGATCGTAATATGAAGCATGTTTTTGGAGAGACCATTGAGAGACTAGTTGAAAATCTTAGGTGCGTATCTTTTCACATTAAGTTGGTAACAAATGCATTCTAATATAAGAATTTTTTATTTTAGACAAAGAGATAAAAATCAAGGTTCGTTTAAAAAAAGAAAAAATCAAGAATATTCGATGGATCAAACAGAATAATGTAAAATCTTTGTTGCAGATTCAGTGTTCTATTCATGAATAAAAAAATGTTCACTAAATAATGTATATGAAATCACTATTTTCGCATGTATTATAGGCACATTAAATTACATTATAGTAATATAAAAATTTATATTTGCGAATATGCATAATCAATTGTAATAAAACATGCACATTTTATTTTGTATTCAGTCAGCTAAACAAAAACAAAATTCTCTTGAAGAAAATCTTTTCTGTATAGATCGAAGTTTTTATGAAGTAAGTCTTTCCGGGTATTTTTAATCTTGTCTTTCAGATCATCAACAGTCAAAGTAAGATACTTTTATTTACAAAATGTTATACTATCTAATAAAAGAGATTTTCTGTGATTCTACATTTAAATTAATTTAGGCAAATAGCAAAAGTTTTGTTTCTAAAAACTGTCATTCAAGTATTTTAGAAAATAAAGAAAATAATAAAGGTAAAAAGTCATATTATTCAAGAAAAATGAATTTTATCATTTTAATTGAACAATCCTCTATCATTCAAAAAGAATAATATTTTATTATTTTAATTGAATGATATTTCATCATTTTAATTAGACAATTCTTTATTTTTTAAGAAGAGTCATTTTTATTAAATGATTTATTATTGTTTAATTGAATAATATATTATTAAAAAAAATAGAATATTATCATTTCAAAGAATAATACTTTATTATTCAAAAAAATAATCTTCAATTAATAATACATTATTATTTAAGAAGAATTATTTTCTTGAACAATTATGATTAATATTGTATTTAATAAACAAATTTATATATTATTAAATTGTAGTTCTAGAATTGCAAATTTCAATTTCTATAAGATTGCAATCTTAGGATTACAATCTTAAAATTTGATTATAAAATTCAGTTATATAACTAAAGTCTTGTGAAATTAGGTCTTCTTTATACTAAAAGTTTTAAGATTAGATTAGGATTGAACTGGATTTTAAATTATTTAATGTTTTAATATATTTAAAATAATTAATATTAGTTTATATATAATTTATATAAATATATTATATTTAAATCTAAATTCTTTATTATTTATAAAACCTTTTAATAATTTATTATAAAAAATAAAAATAATATTTATAAGAATTTTGTAAAATATCGCCATGGCGACATATCACTAGTCCCTGATATCACGTGATTACAAAAAAAAAAGCATCGTTTATTTATTAATTATAACTTAATATTTCAATTACTTGCTTTCTTATTACATAATTATATAAATACTAATCTTAATTATTCATTTATACTTTGTTCCTAAACAATATAATCAATACATAAGTAATCAATTACAATTAATCAAATCTACAATACTAAACATACCTTGCAATTTTTTTGATAATGTCCTACATTTCCACATTTCTTACATCATCTTTGATGCTTTATTTTAGGCTTATAACTTTCATGTGATAATTTAAATCTTTTTGTACCTAATGGTCGACCCTTTTCATGACGTTTTCTTGGATTTTTTAATTGAGGATCATCATTTTCTTTATCACTATTATCTGCTTGTAAACTTTCATCTGAATCT